GTAGTAGTTGCCGGTCTCACCAGCGCGTTTGAAAGCGAACAAGGACCTCACCTCGTCGTCGGTGGGGTCGGCCCAACCCTCGCGACGGTACATGACGATCAGACTCATCAGGCGGGCAAACACCGTCGGCACGTACTGGCTAATGCCGACCTCAAGTCCGCACAAGATATCGTTGAGCGCGCTGGGTAGGGGGAATCGAAGACCCAAGTGGATGCTGTGACGGTAGACCCCTATGCAGCCCGGCGGCGGGCAATGGATTCGCTCTCCGGGATACGGTGCGAACAGCCGAACACCGGGGCCGAAGTTGAACTTCCCCCTCAGCTGAGCCAGATCGGCATCGTCCAAGATCGACGCTGTGTTCCAGGCCGTCGCCTGGCTAGGTGTCGCCCTGATCCGCTCGGGTCGGCGCCAGAATCCCGGAGGAACAGCGGTCACCGCCTCGAGGGCGGCATCAAACGATGCGTCCCCTATGGGGACACGCTCCCGACCGCCGGTTTCCCCTTGAAGGGTCTCATCAACCAGATCTGGATCGACATCGGAGTCGGTGTCCAGAAAATCAAGATCGACGTCATCGTCGTCAGCTGCAGCCAAAGGGTCCTGGTCGGCGCCATCGCCCTCGCGCAGCGGCGACGAGGGAAGGTCAGGTTCGATACCTCCGCCGCCGGAGGCGACTCCCACCACCGAGGGGTCTGGCCGAACAATTGAGATAGGGACGGCGGTAAGGATGACGTCCGCCGGCCGGAAAGTTTCGTCGCCCTCACCGGCGAAGCCGCCGCCATCGCCCGCCGATCTCGGAGAAGAAGACATCGCAATCGAAGAAACGAGAAAGGAAAATAAGAGAGGAAGGTAGGAATTACCGAAGGCTGGCCGGAAATCGTCGCCGAAAAACTCTTGGGATGTGCTCGGGAATCGCGAAGCTCGACAGATCCGAAAAGGGAGGAGTTTCAGAAGTTCTTGGGAAAAGTGAAGAGGAATTCTGAAAAAGAGATATATATAAGATTCCCAAACCAATCGGAAGTGGACACCTGGACGGGCCTTTTGAAATTCAAAATTCGAAACGGCCTAAGTAACTGAAGCGTCCTGTGCAAGATAACCGTCACCCACCTTTTGGTCAACCGTTACGCCCGTTCGAAAAGCTTGGCCTTTAATCCGCCACGTGTCCCCCCACAGTGTGAATGCAGTTAACGCTCGCACCCACGTTTATCAACCGTTACACCCCACGTCTTCTGTTGCCAATCGTTGCGCCCCCACGACTGAAGTGTGTTGGAGATGCCGACCTCAACAGGAGACGGACACGAACTCGAGGGGCCCTGCTCGGATCCCACCGATTGAAGACGACCTCCGGAGAGGTCCGAAATACCTCACCAGAGCTCGGGGGCCTGTATGTTGATATCCGAGTCCGGACCCAACGTAGGTACCGGTCCGAGCCAAAGGAGCCGGTCACCAAAACCGCACGTGGGTGCCGATCTGAATGAGAGTCAAAGTCGTCTGGAATGGCGGGGGGAACAAGTCCCGAGATCGGCACCGTATCCATGTGGCTACGAGGTCGGCACCTTGTTCCAAGTCTCGCAAGGGCGGCTCCTGATAGAAGTATGACGTCGGACACAATAAAATAATGCCACTTGTCTACGCATAATTGCCGATGGGACGTCCAACTCAGCCAGAACGTGTCCGCATTTAATGCAGCCCACGTTCGCATTAAATGTATGGCAGGTAATGATTGGAGAATCCGGAAATCACTCTCAATCAGTCAGAGAAGCGCCGGTTTGTCCCGTTGAGCTACTGTGCGATAAGACCGCTGAACAGTACCCAAACAGTGTCGCATTAAAGTCTCCTATAAATAGCAACCCCCTCATTTATTTTTGGGTTGTTGAATCCCCAACTACTCGAGCTTATATTTTCTCTCTCTAAAGAACTTGTAAGAAATTCTTGTAAGCAATATAAGTATATCACAAGTGCCGACCTCGTACGAGAGGCCGACCTCGTGACCCGTTAATAAAACCGTAATTAAACCGTATTTCTTTGTCTTTTCCTCATTTTCTTTCCATCATTTGACTTTTTAACCGTTGACCGGAAACGTCCGTCAACATGCTCTTTTCGCAAGACGATACGCCCATAGTGTGCTGACCGATTCAACCGTCTCGTCCCCAAAGATTCAACAGTTACGTCTCTTAATCTGTAGCACTTCAGACTTTTGAGCTCCGGCAAACTCAGACTGAGTTGAAAATAAAGCATTGTATGTTATGATGCATGAAGTTTTTTCTGGAGAGTACAAATGCAAGGATATGGTTAGTATGTTTTCTCTGCAACTCTATGTCCTATATACAGGAATTCCAACACAAGTGGAAGATCTCTAGTGTTCATCTTGTAACAACTCAGTCAGTTACAACTAACTAATGACTGTTGTAATGGGCAAAACGTTTTAACGTTTTCAGGTGTTTAATTCACCTTCAATCCACCTGGTAACAACCAAAACTATCAGATGGAAGGTCACATGTCCAAGTTCAGTGACCTCTCCAATCCTCTTTATTATATAAAAAGAGTTAGTCTCATTTAAGAGTTCAATATAAGACAGACTTTTGACTCTTAATCACATAACCACCGTTTTGCATGCCCATTTATGGTTAATTTTAATAATTTATTTTTTACTTACCGAAAATCAATTTTAAAAATATAAATATACCACGAGTATCTACTCGGAATATAGAATTTTTTTAAACAATTTAGTTCAGGCTGAATTAAATATTTAGCCATAATAAAATCAGTCAAAACTGGGTCAAACCCAGGTTTTATAACTGATTTTTTCAACATATATAACATTGCATGTGTTATTCCACCAATAGCTAATATATAAGGTACCTGGGTCATTCTTTCTCTTTCTTCAGGCGTCTTAGGAGACACAACTTTAGAAAGTGAAACACCATGACTCATAGATATGTACACATTTGAATTCTTTCATGCTAAACTTCTTTAATACCTTATTTATGTATATTGATTGTGATAGTCCGACTATCTTTTTAGATCTATCGCTATAGATTTTTATCCCTAAAATAAAAAATTCTTCTGTGAAATATTTAAAGAAAAATTATAAAGTATGATAGAAAATATAAATAAATTTATTAATATTTGTATGATGCCGGCTACACTTCTTCTAATCCTGGTAATATATCGAGCAAAACGTAGACAGAATCTTGGTCGTTCGTTTGGCAGTTTACAAAAGGTTTCTACTTTATTGGGACCTCATGACAAAGCTACCTAAAACATTAATAATATCGAATATTTCCTCTGTCCATTTTGTCATCTATATAGCACAAACGCATGTTTACAATGAAATCTTAGTATCCAAAATGGTTTAATTAACAACTTCTAAGCTAACCAACTTGGGCTTAATTAAGAACAACCTTTTGGAAAAATATCATAAATGATCTATTAATTTGGCTTACTTATTCAAATAATGCACTATCATCAAACTCAGTCCATAATGTTGGTATTTAGTAAACAATTGTTGAAGTAGCAGGATACATTAATTTTTCATAAATTAAAATAGAATGAGACATATATTCAATTCAAGTTTTTTGTCTGCAGATTAAAATTATGAGATCATTCTTAATAATTAGTATAAAAAATATAACTACATCAAGAACTCCGGGATGATGAATTGACATCAATTTTATTCATTTATGAAAATGGTGTCACGGTTATGCTTCAGTAGCATCACACAATGAGATTTGTTGGACGACATCAATATATATAATTAAAAACTAGTTTTTCTTCTATTTTCTAGCTAGGTTTTCTTTCACATTTTTTTTTTTTTAGACGTGATATATTATGTTAATAACTAGTAATAACTATATGCTCTTAATTATTGTTAGATCCGCAAGCCCATCAAAAAGAAAAGCCTTCAATCCCCCTATATAATTTACTGAGCCTAAATGGCATAATCATATGTTAGTTTATTTTATATAAATTTGTGTTTCGTATTGACACATTACATGCTTGATTTTAATTAAAACTAGCCTTCGAATTACCATAAAACTATTTTAATTTTCTTTTACTAAACAACCATATATTTCGTTTTATTAAAATTAATATATATTACCTTTTATTTTATTATTTAATTTATATATTATTTATTATGAATATGTATTTTTATTATTTTTAAAAATTAAAAAAAAACATTTTTTGTAGTTTTATTTTTCATATATGATATATTAAACTAATCATCTTTCAACGATTTTCTATTTGACATTCATATAATATAAAATTATTTTATATGTCTTTATAAATAAAATTTAAATTTCTTTACCAAACTAAAATGAGAATTATCAAATAAACTTTGAAATTAGCGTGTACATAAAAATGTAATATATCATTAAACAATCACTATAGTGTACTGCTCTTCTGGGTCTCAGAAAAATGTGGAAATTAAGTAGTAACAAAGAATGAGTATTAAAAATATTAAAATAAATAGTTAAATACGTCTCCACTTATATAATGTATATAGAGTTTGAATGTTATTATGTTAAAAATAAGAAAAAAAATGAATATCATAAAATTAATTTTTATATGTTATAAAATTAGAAAATATTACACTTGTTTATAATAGTTTATATTTTAAATTATAAAATAATTGAAAAGCTAATATACGAAAGAAACCAACTCTTCAAACAGGAAATATAATTACAATGCAACAAAGCTTAAAAAAATAATTAATGCATTCATAACCAAATTTATGGTATTGTAGATAATATTTAAATTAGATTAATATAACTAAAAAATTATCAGTTTTGACAAATTGAGTGTTAAATACGGGCTTCACGTTTATAAATTGTATCACTTTATTAGTTCTTTATTATTTATTGTACATTTTTTTGTTTATAATCTAACAGTAAGAATATAATTTAATGTATTTTTTTTTTTTACCAGTTAGAACTTATTTATATATTATTGGAATGAACACATTAACTTAATAGGTGTACGCATTTATGATTTGCATGTAGGACGGTATTCTATGGGCAATACAAGTGCAAAGGGGCAGGAGCAAGTTTTGCAGGAAGAGTGTCTTGGTCAAGAGAACTCACTGAACAAGAGGCTAAGCCTTTCATTTCCCTCACCTTCATTGATGGGTCTGAATGGATTACATTATGATCCTTCCTATGTTATGTATCATGTATGTAAAGTGTCCCATCTTTTTTATCCATGAAAACCATTTTTTCATTTTTTTTTTCCACAATAGAATATCTCAATAAAATCGAAAATAAACCATTTTGTCTCATTCAACTACGAGATTGGAAACAGAGAATATCCCCTTTGCTCAATCAAAATCTAAATTTAACACTTTGCTAGTCATTAACAAACCTCTAGCTAGGCACGTCGTTTTGTCTCAATTTTTAATGTCGATGATAAAGAAGAAATTAACACTTGCTTCAAACTCTTTCCTCCACAAAATTTGGAGACCCGCCAAGCTTTCCTATTAAAGCATCCTTAAAATGCGCAGAATCTCGGGCCCGAGGGAACAAAATTGGCCTTCTAACCACATCTGAATACCTATTTCTTGACTCCATCAATTCATGTAGAGAGAATCTCTGTTTTGGAGCACTCTGCGACCTCTGTCTTACCTTGATACAGTGTTTGTTAACTGTGTTGTCATTTGGACCGAACAAGTGGAATTTGTCGGGGTTTGGTCCGACTAATTTCTTGCTCTCGACTAATTTCGACCTTGATTTGGGTTGGCAGCATGTATCAATTTCAACTATTTTTGGGCTGTCTTCGTATGACAATGAGGTCCTCCCAACATCCAAATTTGGCGGGAGATGATCTACCAAGTTTTCCTGCAAATTATGAGAAAACTCCAACAATAAACCCAACAGTATCTTTTTTTCATTTCACAAATTAATAACTTCATGGAATTGGGACATTATAAATTTGTAGCATTTTTGTTTTTGTTTTTGTTTTTTCTCTTATGGCCAACATGTTTTAGCCATTTTCTACAAAAAAAAAAAAAAACAAATGAAATTTGCAATGCTGAAATGGCTAGCTAGAGTACATTTTCAATTCAAATTTATAACTGCCCATAAAACTCAGGTCTGATGAACTGACCAGGGATTTTGGGGCTGGAGGATAATCTTCATAATAGTTGGTGAACCGTCGGGCCTTCAGGGCCCGAACACTTTCTTGAGCCCTCATGAGAGCTTGCATGCTGTGCAGTACTGCTGCCGCCTGTTTACGCACCAAAAATCCTCTCGCCAGCGCCTGAATCTTCACCAGTCCCTTCAAAGCCCGTAGTGCTCTTCTGGCCTTTTTTTTTTTCCGGGAAAATAACACCGATTTACGAGTTGTTAGTAAACAATCCAAACTAAATCTTACATTAAACAGTCCTTGAAAAAGAATTTTTTTTCCCAAAAGCCATAAATCAGTCGATTTAACAATTAATTACCATATATCCCCGAAAAGCCGCTTGGATCTTAGCAGCAGCCAGCTTTTCCCGCGCGCGAGTGGTGAGAAGAACGACGGTGGCCGCCGCCTGGGCCGCGGCCACGGCGGCGTCGGCAGCGGCCGCGGTGGCGGCAGCTACTGCCCTGGCGTGCCGCTTCTCCTCGCTGTCGGGTTCATTATAAAATGAGTTGAGCCAGGCGGCCTCGGCAATGGTTATGCCAGCTGTTGTACGACTGGAAATTAACGTGTTCGTATCTCTCGGCTCAACCCAACAATAATCCGTTTCAAATTTTTCTCTATTCTTAATTCCAAACAGGGCCTTCAACCACTTGGTAGCTCTTCCCATTTTTTTCCTAGTTGGGGGGTTTCTTTGTTGTTCTCTGATGATAATAATAAAAATAATATAAAACAGAGAAGGGAGGATTGATTGATTGATTGATTGATTACGTTTGTGGAGGGTTGGATTGGAGCATGGAATCTGGGGCTGTTTGTATATTGTGGAAAGGCTGCCATAAAGAACAATGCAGCAGAAAAGGAATATGTGATAACAGCTATTCAGAAAGGTGTTTGTACTTTACTACCTATGGTGGACCAAAGACTAGTACTATAGAGAATACGATGGGTGAACAAATACGTTCTTGATTTTCTCTCTCTACGCACAGTTTAACCAAGAGATGCCATATATGACTTATTATTGAAACCTAATATCAAAATAAATTATTTACATATTTCTATTAAATTTGTCACTTTTCTTTAATTACATGTGTGTAGATTAGATTTTCAAACGGCAAGGTATTATTTGTACACACCTTACGTCAAGTACTCATTTATCAATTGTAGATTGCTTGAAAAATTATTCTTAACCACATGATCAATGTACAAGAAAAAAAGTATTACCAAGTATTTTATACTTTGCCTCATACTAATTTGTAGATTTAATATTCTAAATATTATATAAATCCAAAGGAACAATTTTATTCTTCTGGCGTTTCTTGGAACCGGGAAGAAGTTTGGGAGCAATTATTTTTTCCCTACTATCTGTATGTTTGGGAATCATGAAAATGACCAAGTAAAAAAATTTAGGCCTGGAAAGAAGAGAAAAACTGGATTAGAAGTGGAGGAGGGTATGATTAGTAAATTGCAGTCCCTTGTTATCATTAGTATTTTGCCCCTTAAAGAAACTTCTAGATTATCTCTTAATAGAATTGAAGCAAGATGAATTTTCTCTTTTGCTAAGTGAAGCAAACAATCATATATTGGCTTAGAGNCGTAAGATTCTCATAAAAAGACCAAATGCAACAAAGTTTCATCAAGGCCAACAGACTAATAAATCAACACAAAATTATGAATTAGAAACTAAGTTGATCCAGTTTCTTATGGGCCTCGATGACAGTTATGATATAATGAAGAATCAAATTAGAATGATGGATCCTTTACCAAATGTTAGCAAAACCTACTCTATGGTGCTTTCAGCTGAAAGGCAGAGAACAATTCATAATAATTTTGAAAGGCAGGAAAATGTGGCTATGAATGCCAACTTTGAAAATGTGGCTATGAATGCCAACTTTGAAAATGTGGCTATGAATGCTAACTTCTCTACCATAGTTCATTTGTCCTCTGCCATAATTTTCAAAGTTGGCATTCATAGCCACATTTTCCTGCCTTTCAAAACTACTATGAATTGTTCTCTGTCTTTCAGCTGACCATAGAGTAGGCTTTGCTAACATTTGGTAAAGGATCCATCATCATAATTTGATTTTTCAGCATATCATAACTGTCATTGAGGCCCATAAGAAACTGGATCAACTTAGTTTCTAATTCATAATTTTGTGTTGATTTATAAGGTTGTTGGCCTTGATGAAACTTTGTTGCACTTAGTGTTTTTATGAGAATCTTACGTTTTGAAAAAAAAAAGAAATTAGTGGACATCTTGCTATAAGCTGATTTGCTAATTAATTAATTATATTTGCTAATGAATTATATGTTTTTTTAAGAAAATCTTGATTCCCCACCCCGAAAAGGTCCCTCCTCTCCTCTGCCTTGTTCAAAATTTGGACGGTGCTACATGGAAGAAATCTTAACAGGACAAAGCCAAACACAAGTATCCCTACACTGTTAACAGACATGAGAGAAATTTGAAGCATTTCGGCATGCATCACGTTCGGGCTCTGGTATTCTATGGGCAATACAAGTGCACAGGGGTAGGAGCAAGTTTTGCAGGAAGAGTGTCTTGGTCAAGAGAACTCACTGAACAAGAGGCTAAGCCGTTCAATAAATGTAACCAAACTCACCCTTAATGTAATTTGCAATGCTGAAATGGCTAGCTAGAGTACATTTTCAATTCAAATTTATAACTGGCCATAAAACTAGGTCTGATGAACTGACCAGGGATTTTGGGGCTGAAGGATAATCTTCATCATAATTGGTGAACCGTCGGGCCTTCCGGGCCCGAACACGTTCTTGAGCCCTCATAAGAGCTTGCATCAGTACTGCAGCTGCCTGCTTATGCACCAAAAATCCTCTCGCCAGTGCCTGAATCTTCACCAGTCCCTTCAAAGCCCGTAGTGCTCTTCGGGCCTTTTATGTTTTACTAAACACCGATTTACAAGTAGTTAGTAAACAGTCCTTGAAAAAGAAAAGATTTTCCCCAAAAAGCCATAAATCAGTCGATTTAACAATTAATTACCATATATCCACGAAAAGCCGCTTGGATCTTAGCAGCAGCCAACTTTTCCCGCGTTCGAGTGGTGAGAAGAACGACGGTGGCCGCCGCCTGAGCCGCGGCCACGGCGGCGTCGGCAGATGCCGCGGTGACGGCAGCTACTGCCCTGGAGTGCCGTTTCTCCTCGTTGTCGGGTTCATTATAAAACGAGTTGAGCCACACGGCCTTGGCAATGGTTATGCCAGCTATTGTACGACTGGACATTAATGGGTTCGTGTCTCTCAGCTCAACCCAACAATAATCCGTTTCAAATTTTTCTCTATTCTTAATTCCAAACAGGGCCTTCAACCACTTGGTAGCTCTTCCCATTTTTTTTTTCCTAGTTGGGGGGTTTCTTTGTTGTTCTCTTATGATAATAATATAAAACAGAGAAGGGAGGATTGATTAAGTTTGTGGGGGGTCGGATTGGAGTATGGAATCTGGGCCTGTTTGTATATTGTGGAAAGGCTGCCATAAAGAACAATGCAGCAGAAAAAGGAATATGTGATAACAGCTACACAGAAAGGTGTTTGTACTTTACTACCTATGGTGAACCAAAGACTAGTACTATAGAGAATACGATGGGTGAAAAAATACGTTCTTGATTTTCTCTCTCTCACGCACATTTTATTAGTTAAACCAAGAGATGCCATATATGACTTATTGAAACGTAATATCAAAATAAATTATTTACATATTTCTATTAAATTTGTCACTTTTCTTTAATTACATGTGTAGATTAGATTTTCAATGGCATTTGTACACACCTTACCTCACGTACTCATTTATCAATTGTAGATTGCTTGAAAAATTATTCTTAACCACATGATCAATGTACAAGAAAAAAATATTACCAAGTTGTATATTTAATATACATTGCCTCATACTAAGTTGTATATTTAATATTCTAAATATTATGTAAATCCAAAGGACCAATTTTATTCTTCTGCCGTTTCTTGGAACCGGGAAGAAGTTTGGGAGCAATTATTTTTTCCTACTATCTCTAATCTCTATGTGTGGGAAACATGAAAATGACACGGTTAAAAATTTCAGGCCTGGAAAGAAGAGGAAAATTGGATAAGATGTGGAGGAGGGTACTTTCATTCCATATCCGGCAAACATTCTAAACACGTCTTCGAAACCAAAACCAATAAGTATAAATTCAAAACTCAAAAAGCATTAGAAAAATAAAAAGTAAAATATAAAGCAGTACTGTTGTTATCAAATGGGGGAGCTGTACTGCTGTCATCACATCTTTCGCCACCTTTGAACTTATGGTATCTTCTGTTTACAAAAAACAGATAAACGGTTAATATTTAGCAGCATTTTTGCAGAAGAAACACATGTAGTAAATGGAATAATTTGTTTTTGTTATTTGTTTATTTATTTCTTCTTCTTTAATCACCATCATTACACAAATGAACTTCAGCATAATATTATGTACCAACTCATTATACAAAATCAGTCATGGTCAATGTAGAGAAAGATGGACGCTGTGAAATTTGTAGATCTTCTTCCTATACAATCGACATACACGTAAACAACAACAACAACATAGCATTTAGTCCCAAGCAAGTCGGGGTAGGCTAGAGATGAAACCCAAGAGA